GATTCAGTAATTGTAGATTTGGTATAATTTTTGGTGTTTATGAATATTTATAATATTAATAATTTAAATGATTTCAGTTGACGGCTATATTACTATTCAACCCAAACCGTCCATACCTTATTCATAGGGATACAATTAGGTAGGTTTTTCAAAATAAATTAAATATTCTTTATTATATGACTTACTATTTTTTAAATTTGCATTTTAATTTTAATAAATGTTTTGTCTCTAATTATGTGTATAGACTTTATCAGAAATCATACATTCATTTACTTCACCGATATTTTCAATTGAAATACCGTTCAGAATATGAGGCGAAAGCAAGACTAATGAGTCTAATGGATGTTATGCCAGACATCCGTGTATTAGGAGATACTCTGTGGAGGAATGGTAAGGAATCCTCGCCACAAAGTATGCCACCACTTCTCAGAGAGATTTATGATAAATGATTTTATTTCACATGATATATAATATTAAGTGATTTGTCTATTAAGTAATAATATTGTAAATATTTATATAAATACATTTAGAATGGACTCACAAATAACCTTGAACATTATAACTTCATTTTATTATATCAATTTTTAGTTCATTGCTTGTTTGCATTTAAACCAGTAACTTATTAATTTTTTATTATTGATTGAAAAGGGTTATTTTAAAAAGTTAATTAAAGGTGATAATAGACAGGGTATTTGTTAGTGTTTATTCTTGTATTTAAAATAATATATTTTATTAAACAAAAATTGTAAGTTGTGTATATTTGTATTTGTTTATACGAGAGTTAATTTGTTTATATTAATTAACGCAAAATAATAAAATATTCAATTTCTAGTAAATAACAACTATATTACATAAATTGAATATAAATTGATGTCATTCGTTGAATTATATATAAATGTCATACAATAGAAAGTTTGATAAAATTAGTAGCATTTGTGGCGATTTTGCTGCGAGTAAGTGATAATAATAATAGTTAAAATACTACTAGTTGCACAATAACCTTTTAAATAATAGATTTTTTGTAACAGTTGTCCTCACTACTTTTATCATTAATCGTGTAGGTTTTACTGTACTTGACTCAAATTAATATACTAGTAATTGCACAATAACTTTTTAAATAATTGATTTAACTCATGATAGATTAGTTGTAAGCATAACAACAATTAAGTAATAATTTTTTTAAGAAATGTGTTATGACATAACTCATTTTAATTAAAATGTGGTATTTAATTTAGCAAACATCAATGAAATGAATTGTTTTGAATTAAGATTTTAAATAAGCTTAAGTTTTAAAAATTATGTAAGTATATTTTTAAACTTAAATACAATGAATCTTGGTGATATACTGTGTATGATTTGCAGTGGAAGCAAATTAGTTGGTAAGTATAATTCTATTAAACCTTGCTAATTTTAGTAAATATGTTAATTTATTTTATTTATAATTATAAGTATAAATTTGTTTTATATTAAGGCAGGTACTTTGCTGCCATTACTTGCGATTCGAGTAAATCATTTTTCCGGTGAATGGCCCTTAAAAATATTGTAATTACTAAACATATTGTTTGAAACAATTTGTAAATTAAACATGGTATATTGTTTTTTAAATAGCAAGTAATATGCCTAAATGATGGTAACTGTAATATAATTGCAAATCGTAGAAAACTATGTCAAAAATGTCGACTCGAAAAGTGTATAGCCGTGGGGATGAGAAAGGTCAGTTTGTAATTTTTATAATAAAAATAGTAAACATTTATTATTTAATAGGAATTCATAAGAGATGTGAAAGAAAACGAAATGAGAAGACAATTGATTAGAGAAAACAAATTAAAACAACAAAATTATATTCATTACTCAAATACTAACACAGCATCTAATGATTGGTCGGAAACTAGTGA